GATACCTATATTTCCTTGTATGCGGCTTTTCACATATACAAGACTATATGTATCTCAAATTTCTTTTTTTTTCTTTCTTGCTTTCTGGGAATTTCTCTTGTTCTTCAATCCCACTCACAGTGGAGTCCACAGAGGGGGTTGCAAACATTTTTTGATGACTCACAGAGAGAGAGAGAGGGTGGGTGATGAGTGGCTGATGGTCGGTTTTACCATGGTGGCCTCTAGTACACAGCAGGCTGCCTGTGAGTACCTCTGATTGCTGGAGAGAGCAAAGGGCAGCTGCTGCAGAGCCCCCTTTCTTCCCTGTTCTAACCAGTCATCCTAGCCTGTCCTTCAATTCAGCATTTGGAGGCCCCAGCAAATCAAAGTGTGCGCTTCCCAGAATAACTGGAGCTGAGCAGTAACATGGAGCAAAGAGAGGCAACTTCTGGAAAAAAAAAAAAATCTTTGCCTTTTCCCTTTCCATTAAAAATCCAAGGAAATAGTTCAGGAGGAGAAAAAAAAAAAGTCACTAAATGCAGTGGTTTTCATATGGCAGGTTGTCACCCATGAATGGATGCTGACCTCATGGAGCAGGTATTTTTTTTAAAGAAGCAAATAAAAACATAAATAAAAATACATGGCAACACGAAGGTAAGTATTGTTTCATGAATCTTTATATAGTGACTTTCCTTATGTGCAGTTTTACTTTCCATGGTTTCGCTTAGTCATGGTCAACCATGGTCTGAAAATATTAAATGGAAAATTCCAGAAATAAATGATTCATAAGTTTTAAATTGTGTGTGGTTCTGAGTAGTTTGATGAAATCTGGGGAGGTCTTGCTTTGTCCTGCTAGGGACATGTGTCCTTCGTCTGGTGTCTTCGCCGCAATCACTACCCTCCCGTCAGACACTTAGCAGCTACCTGGGTCAGGATTTCTATTGCTGTGTCGCGGTGCTTGTGTTATTTACTCAATAGTGGCTCCCAAGTGAAAGAGTAGCAATGCTGGCTATTTTATTACAACATGCCAATAGGCCAGGTGTCGTGGCACACCCCTGTAATCCCAGCACTCAGGAGGCTGAGGCAGGAGGATCGCTGTGAGTTCAAGACCAGCCTGGGCTACATAGTGAATTCCAGGTCAGTCTCAACTACATAGTGAGACTCTGTTTTAAACAACCAAAGCAAAGCAAAGCAAACCAAACCAAAAAACCCCAACATGTCATTATAACTGTCCTATTTTGAAATTGGTCACTGTTACTCTCGGTGAATTATAAATTTTATCACAGGTAGATATGTATAAGAAAACACATAGCATATAGAGAGCTTAGTTCTGTCTATGGTTTCAGACATCCGTTTGGGCTCTTAAAACCTGAAGGTAAAGGAGGACACACATACACACACATGCACATACATGCACAGACATGCACAGACATGTTACGGATGTATTTCTCACCAGGGGCTAATTTGAAAGAAGCCTGAGGAGCAGACTGCTTAAAAGGTGAGAACTTCTGGCCTGTGTGCCCAGCCCTCCCCTCTGAGGAGAGACTTCTACATTCATGGCGGAAGTCACCCTTCTTACTTGTGCTCCGTAGGTTGACTGACATTATGATTTGTGAGGACCACAAACATCTTTTCTTCATTCCTTTGCCTGTGCTAACATTATTTCCGGAGTGCCAATCTCACTCCCACCCCTCCAGTCAAGCCACTGTCATTGCTCATTTGCATGACTGTCCCGGCTCGGAGGCTGGGAACGTGGGGCGGGGCTCTGAACAAAGAAGAAAGTATGAGCACGAGGTGGCAGTCGTGCACACGAGCCTCGCTAGATGCCCAGGCCGCGGCTGGGGAGGACCCGGGAGTCTGACTGTCCCGAGGTGGAGTTTGAGGAGCTCTGCTCTGAAGGGAGGAAGGTCGGGAGCTCCCAGGCTGAGGGGCGTGAGGGGCGTCCAGGTGGTGTCACCTGCAGCACTGCGGGGCTCTCGCTCAGAAGCCTGGAAAGGCAGTAGAACCCTGAAGTCTTTTGAACACACCTCGCTTTCATCAACGGCCCACGGACTCCGGGTGTAATTTTTGCGAAAGATTCAAGGCAGGCCTACCCTAAATGTCCGCAGAGATGTTCGTATGGGGGGTTAAAAAATGATTGAATGTGTAAAAATTTGAGTTTGGTGCTAGTGATCTTTTGAACTAACATGTCATCTTTAGGGGAGAAACGAACAACATAGGGACCGATACGTAGAGACCTTCTTTGGCTCCTGTATATGTTTAACACCTCTCTCCTCAATCCATTCTCTCTATGACACTGAGGGATTCAAGGTTTTTTGCTTTATGTATTTTCATTTCTCTGGGGCATACTCGTAGGAAATGCTAGGTCATGTGCTCTCTCCTCTCTCTGTCTCTCTTTCTCTCTCTCTCTCTCTCTCTCTCTCTCTCTCTCGCTCTTTTTTAAAAGGGCTCACTCTTTTCCAGTCTGGTCTTGAACTCATGAATTCAAGTGATCTTCTTACCTCAGTCTTCAGAGTAGCTGTGTCGACAAGGGACACACCACCGCAGCGGCTTTATGTAAAATGGTTTGACAAAACATTTTCCGAAGTGGACACGCCATTTCACATTCCCAACAGCAGCATAGAAGGATTTCAGCCTCTCCACGTCTTCACAAACTCTTGTTATTAACTGTCTTTTACCCACCTTGGTTCTGGGAATTGAACCCAGGGCTTTTGTACTGAGCTACATCCCCAGTCTTTTTTATTTTTGGTACTGGGAATTGAACTCAAGTTCTTCTGCATGTGAGGCAGGCAGTGGAACCACTGAGCTAAATCCCCAGCTCTTAATCTTTTTTTTTTTTTTTTTTTTTTTTTTTTTTTTTAATTTTTTGAGACAGGGTCTCACTAAGTCACTGAGTTGCTCTGGCTGGGCTCAAACTTGTGCTTCTCCTGCCCTACACTCCCAAAGTGCTGGGATTACACGCTTATTGATTAAAGTCACCCTAGTGAGTATTTCATGATTATGATTTGCATTTCCACGATCACTAATGAGATTGAGCATCTTGTCAGGTGATGAGTCGTGTTTTATATTTATATATTCCAAAATATTTTCAGAGTAAGAAAACTGTACTTCTTTCAGTAAATTTACTTGAATATTTTTTTTCTTTTTTGATGGAATTGTGTAATTGTATTTTTAATTTCAACTTTGGGTGACTGGTTGTGTAGAGTAGTGTAAATGAGTTTTCTATATTGATTCTACAACCTTGCTAAATTATTAGTTCTAATATATTTTTGGTGTAGTTCTTAAGATTTTTCAATATGTAATATCATGTCATCTGCAAATTGGAGTAGTTTTGCTTCTTTCAGGCCACCAATCTGATCGCATTTTATTTGTTTTTCTTTTCTGTTTGCCCTGGCTAGCCCCTTGAGTGCTATGTTGAATGCCAAAGGTGGGAGCAGACATCACTGTCTTGCTTATGCTCTGTTAATTATTGGATATTCATAGAAAGCTTTATTGGTTAGAGGAAGTTGCCTTTATTCTTAGTTTTTTGATGTTTGTAATCATAAAAAGGTGTTGGCTTTAGAAATTTTTATGTACTTATTGAGATAGTCATGGATATGTCCTTTATTGTATTGTGATGTCATTTACTTTTGGATGTTAACCCAACCTGGCATTCCTGGGGTACTCTCATAGGGTTATGGTGTATGATTAGCTGAATATAGTGTTGGAGTTTGTTTTCTAGTATCTTTTTTTTTTTCCAGTACCGGGAACGTTTTCTAGTATCTTATTGAGGATTTTTGTGTTACATTTATAAGAGATTTAATTTAGGACTTTTATGTTTAGATTTAACTTAGACTTTATAGAACTTTTCCCATTTCATCTGTGTTATCTGATTTGTTGGTTTACAGTTGTTTATGCTGTTCCCTTGTAATTCTTTTTATTTCTGTAAAGTCAATAGCACTATACCTAATTTATTTATTTATTTTTGGTACCAGGGATAAAACTCAGGGCACTGTGCTTACCAGGCAGATGTGCTGCCACTGAGCTAAATCCCTGGCCCACATTATACTTTCTTTTTTTTTGTACCAGGGATCAAACTTGCATCCTTGTGCTTGCGAGGCAGGAGGTGGCACCGCTGAGCTAAATCCCCAGCCCCGCATTATACTTTCTTTTACTCTTTTTTAAAACTTTTAAAAATTCTTGGCCTTGATAATTCTCTCTCCCTCCCTCCTTCTCTTCCTCTCCCTCTCTCTTTCTCCCTTTCCTTCTCTCTTTCTTTTGTGAGTTATTTTCTTAGTAGTCACCCTGGAGCTTAAAATACACATCTAAACTTGTCAAAATCTACTTCAGATTTATGCAGACTTCATTCCAGTGAAACATATAAATCTACTCTTGTTTTTCCCCATTAATTTTATCGGTACATTTAAAGCAAACAATACAGTTACATTTACCATAGGGATCTTGTACTTCTACATGATATAGCTTGGTTCATATTTTTTCCCCATATCCTTGCCCTCCCTTCATCCTCTACTCTTTATACTTGTATTCTTTTCGATACTGATATTGTTATACACGTTACATCTGTATTTAACAAGCCCAACAATACACTGTTTGTAATTAGTACTCCACATAATTTTATAATCTTTTAATGTAGCTGAATAAAGAAGGGAGAGCAAGACTTGTAGAACTTGTTATATGAGCCTTCTGGTCCTCTTTATGTTACTGTGGGGTTGAGTTACCATCTGGTGTCATTTCCGTACTTTGCTCCCACACACCTATTCTGCATTATTATTGTCAAATATATTACATATCTATATCTTGTGGGACAAATCAAAAGAATAGACACATTATTTCATGCAGTTAATTAAAACAACTTAAGAGAAGAAAGTTAAAGGAATGTACAACTATATTGCCTTTATAATTGCCTATGTGATTACTTTTACTAGTTCTTTTTACTTTTTTTTTATTAAGCCAGTGCCTAAATCTTTATTGTCATCTATTGTAAACCTTTCTGATCCTTATCCTCCTGTAGTGAGAAAGGAATATTAATAACAAATAAATCCAGCTCTGCTTCGTTCTTAACTCTGTTCAGTTTGTATAATGGATGGATCCTCTAGAATTTTTTTGTCAGTTTTCTTTGTTGCCATCCTCTGGGATATTCCATCCCTCGGCTTTGAGGAGCCCTTCCCTGGGAGGCACTGCTTTCACTACTACTGTAGTAGCTCGGTTTGAGTTGTATTTTGACAAAATCTGGAGAACATCTTCTGGAATAGCAGTTACCTCTGGAGGTGTGGGTGTTCTGAGCAGAATCTCATAAGATGAAATTGTAGGCGAAGAAGGGTCTGCAAAATTCTCCAAGCACTGGTCTGAATGTAAAACTAATGAAGTACAATCTTTAACTTCAAAATCATTTGATGAACTTTGTATTTCTTATAATGGATAGTTTGTGGATACCAAAGCTGTGTTTTTCTTTGCCGAAGGAACTTTCAAACCGGGAGTGCAGAATGTAGGAGTCAAAGGGGAATCTGTGTAGTTGGACTCTCCTTTTGCCAATTGCTGGATTATGGGGCCAGCAGCGGCAAAGCTATTATCACTGGTCATGAATTCTGTTTCTACAGCCACCTCACTTTTGATAGTCTTCATATTTTTCAGTCCTATTGTGTAATCTTCATTTAGACACGTAGTATATTCAGGGATACCAAAATGCTCTAATTTAGGAGTTACACACTCAAAATCATCCATCTTTAGAGCACATTTTAGAGTTTTTAGTATTTTAACTACTGATTGTCTCGTAGGTGGAGTTTCAGTTATGGGGTCTTCCTTGTGGTTGCTTATGGCTTGTGGAGGGTTTGGTAGAACCTGAGGTATCATATACCGCTCCATTCCAAAATCTGCAAGCTGTGGACTGCGCAGAGGCTCCTCAGAAACTGGGGCAGATGGATCAGGCAGTTCATCCTTCCCATGAGGCTTTTGAACATGGTCACAGCTGGCCATTTCTGGGGTAGAATCAACAATTTCCTGTTCACAGACTGAATTTTCCTTGACACGTGGATTATATCCATACTTCTGGAAAAATTCTCTTATTTTTATGATATCCATCGAATTTTTTTTCATCAGTAGTTTTGTTGCCTTAATAAAATCAATGCTTTCTTGACTTTCTGATCTTGCTTTATCAAGCAGAGCATTAACATCATCCTTCAGAGCCCAGACTTGAAGGTCATGTAAAATCCTCATTGGATCATCTTCAAATTCGCTGTCATCTCCTTCTAGCACTTGCTGCAATCGCGTTGTCTCGTGGTCTAGCGTGCTGGCTAGAAACCAAAGCTTCCCGCAGAATACCCGGATTAGGTCCATGAATGAAGGCGACTGAACCCGACTCAACACTCAAACCCCCGCCACTGGTTTGAATTTGTTGGCGCTGGAAGCGCTTGGTGCTTTTTACTTTTAATGTGGGGTCAAATTGCTGTTCTGGGGGTCACACACCTTTCATCATGAAGAGCTTTTCCCACCCTGCTACTGGGGATTAAACCCAGGGGATTTGTACTGAGCTACATCCCCCTACTCTGCCTTTAAAAAAATTTGGGATGGGGCCATGCTAAGTTGCCCAGGCTGGGCTCGAACCTCTGATCCTCCTGCCTCGGCCTCCCAGAGTGCTGGAATAACAGGTGTGTGCAACCATGCCTGGCTGAGATCTTTGTCTATAAAATTTGACATCTGATCACACTCAAAGTCAGTTTCTGTGGCTTGTTCTTCCCCCTGTATGGTGGGGGGGGCACATTTTCCTGTTTCTTTGTGTGTTTCAGTTTTTGTGGTCAAAAATTGGAAATTTTAGAAAACGTAATAACTTGATTCTAATCCACCCTGTGGTCTGCTGTGGTTGTTTGCTCATTTGTTTAGGTATTTGGCTGGGCTATTTCAGAGGAGTCTGTTTCTCTTGTATAGACTTTCCGATGTTTATTCTCAGAGGAAGCAGCCTTGGGCCGGAGTGCAGTTCTTCTGGGCTGACTGTGATTGTCAGGCCTTCTTTTGACTGTCTTCACTCATCTTTCTGTTAAGCTCTCGCCTCTGTGGGTCTCAGGGCTAGCTGTTAGTTTCCACTAATTGCCATATGATTACTCTGTTATTTTCAGCAATGGCCTCGGGACATAAATTGCTGTCCTGTACATTCTGATCCAATTAAATGGAAGCCTCCTTGAGGGGTAATCTTTAAGGCCAGCCTCTGTGCTTTAGACAGGGCTCTCGAAGAGCTCTCAGCTGCCCCTTCCCCTGGTTCTCTCTCTTAAAAATCCTACTGGTCTACAAGTTGGCTTGTTGCTCCCATGGCTACCGGCCTGTTTTTAATTGCCTAACTTTCAAATCTCCACCCTTTTCAGCAGCAACCTTGGGCTTGAGCTTCCTGACGCTTAGTTCACTGTTGGTCCAAATAAAGTCAGTTACCTGAGAGGAGCTCTGAATGTCTCTGATTCTATGTCTCCTTCTTTCCTGAGGCCTGACCTCTTACCATTCCTTTGAGATGGGAGGTTTAAACAGGGATCCACTTCTTTTGAATCACATTACTGCTTCTATGAGTAGGGTATTGGGTGGGGTGGTAGTTTGTGATATTCTTATCTTACCTGTCTTTTGGCATGGGATATCTTCTCTATGAGAAAGCTGGGGCAGGGATGACTTGCACCCAGTGTTCTTCACTAGCCACACCTGAAGTAGAACTTCTGCTGTATGAGTGCGGGCTGGGTGAAAGAAGGGAGCCCAAGACTTCTTTAGTCACTGCTGCTTAGAACAGAGCTTCTGCAACGCAGAGCTGGGGTGTGTGTGTGTGTGTGTGTGTGTGTGTGTGTGTGTGTGTTGTGTATGTGGTAGGGGTGGTGGGAGATGAGAGATGCTGGCAGCCTGGCCCACCTGGGGAGAGACCATAGGTCTAGACTCGGAGCTGGTAGGAGAAGGAACCCTGCTTTCTTGGCTTCCTCCTCTTGGAGTAAGACTTGCATTGTACTGAGCTGAGGGGTGGGGAGGAGAGTAGGCCAGTGGTGGTGAGTCTATGGCACAGTGCTGCAGTGGGTTGTTTGTGTCACTGACAGCTCTAAATGAGTCGCCATCACTGGAGTAAGTAGTGCTCATATGCAAAAGAATCTGAGTGTTCTTACTGAGAGTTAATAGATTTTCTTAAATGCTTCTTTATTTACTAGATTCTCCTAAAACAATTTCCAGATATTTTAAATAATTGATGCTTTAAAAAATAATTTTCACTCGTTTTGGTTATCGTGCTGAAGAGAGTTCATGGAGTTCCTCACTCTGCCATCTAGAAGTCATTCTCATGGAAAAGAGCTTGATTTATTATTTATTCCAGGGGAAGTATGGTTTTGGGGACTTCTCCTTAGCCCCAGAAATCACAAGTTATTCATTCCACAGGTTAGGAAACACTAAAACAATCATTAAAATAACAAAACAAAAACTTATGGCTAATATGTCAACAAAGAAACTAAAATGGACTCATAAAAATACTGCCATAGTTTAGACCCTGAAGGTTTCCCAATCCCATGTATTTAAAGGCTTGGTTCCCAAGGTGGTGTCACTGGGAGATGGTGGAACTTTTAAGAGATGGGGCTTAGTGGGAGGTCTTGAGGTCACTGGGGATATACCTGAAGGGGAGTGTGGGATGGTCTATTCTCATTTTTTTCTGACTCTTGGCCAAGAGGTGAGTGGTTTTGCTCTGCCATAGGCTCCCACCATAATGTGTTGCCCAGCCACGGGCCCAAACACAAAGAGGTCAATCAGTCATGGACTGGAACCTCCAAACAGTGACCCAAAATAAGCCTTTTCTCTATTGGTTGATTGCCTTAGGCATTTTATTATAGTGATGGAAAGCTGACTAACACAGAAGATCTAATAGATAGAAGAAGAAGATGGAACTAAAAACTGATCTGACAGAACATATAGTAACAAGATATATTTAAATTCTAGCCATATTATAATCACATTGAATATAAACACTATACATACCCAAATTAAAAGAGAGATTGTTAGGTTAGGTAAAAAGTAAAACACAACTAGATACTACCTACAAGAAACACATTTTAAATATGAGGATACAAATTGAGGTAAAAATTAAAGTGATATAAAAGGATATACTATGTAATATCAATCTGAAGAAAGTTAAAATTGCTATATTAGATATTGCAACAAAACCAGAAACATTGAAACTGCTGGAAGGCAATGATTGAAGGTATAGTCACAGGCAAAGATTTCCTGGACAGGACTCCAAAAACACCGGAAATAATATGAAGGATCAAGAAATGAAACTATATAAAATTTAAGTTTGCACATGGCAAAGGAACAAAGAGACAACCTACCAAATGGGAGAAAAATCTTTGTTAGTTACTCTTCTGGTAGAGGACTAATACCTGGAGTATTTAAAGAACTTTAAAATATTAACTACAGTAAACTAATGAACTCAATTAAAAAAGCAGACAAATAAGCTGAATAAATACTTCTCAAAAGTAAAAGTTCAACTCTTGAAAAAGTAGTTGAAAAACATCTCTAGCCCTCAGGGAGATGCAAATTAAAAGTGTATTGAGCTTCTCTCTCACCCCAGTCAGAATAGCTATTAACAAGAATACAAAAAAACAAAGAATGCTGGCAAGGAAGCAGGGAAAAAGTGATCCTCCCAGATTGTTGGTGGAAGTGTAAACTAGAACAACCACTATGGAAATCAGTATGGAGATTCCTCAAAATACTAAATATAGAAATACCATTTGACTGATCTATATCACTCGAATATATTCATGAAAGAATTAAGGACTGTATATTATAGTGATACACGCTTACCAATGTTTATAACAGTTAGGTCCATGATAGCTAAGTTATGGAAACAACTTAGATGCCTATCAGCAGGTAAATGGATAAAGAAAATGTGATATGTATACCCAATGGAATACTACTCAGCCATGAAGAATAACGAAATCATGTCATTTGCAGGAAAATGAATGGAATAGAAATCATCATGTTAAGTGAAATTAGCCAAACTCAAAAAGTTAGATATATGATTTATTTTACATGAAAAACAAAAAAAAATGCATAAGTGAATGAATGCTTAAAATAGAAGAGATTTTTAAAAACAAAAATAAAATAGAGGAAGAGAACAGGAAACCTGAAGGTAAACTTCTAGAGATGCAGAAGAGCACAAGTGGAGAGGAAGGAGAGTATAACACGACTGAAATCGATTAAGATATACTAAACACATGTACCACCTTTCCCAAACCCCACCATTGTACAGCATTAACATGCACTAATAAAAAATGAAAAAAAAAAAAGACGCTGTGGGGGCCTCTTGACTTTCACACTCACTGTGAGTTGAGAATTGGGTGCCCTGACCTGTCATTTTTTTTCTTCCGTGCTTCAGTAAAACCAGGCAAGAAGCTGTCAAATCCCTTAGTCTGTGTAACTATCTTCCCATGCCTTTCAAATGCAAGAAATGTAGCTCATGAACCACTGGTTCCCTTTCACCTGTATTCTATACAACTCATCACCGATGAAAGCACTAGTGATTATAGGCTAAGAAATATACAGCTTGGTAAGTGTTGTCATTAATCCAATTATCACCAACAGTGAGGTCTCCATTTCTGTTTGGCTGGGGAATGAATTAACTTTAGAATCCTCTTTAGGATCTACTTCCTGGTTCTAAGTGAGTTCCTTAGAAGCAGAGCTTGAGACAAGGCGATGTTATTATGAGCCGTACCCAGGGAAGACTAGTAAGGAGTCATGAGAAGCAGATCATGGAAGGGGAGGAAGCCAAGCATGGGTGCAGTATCAGGCTAGAGTCCCACAGAGGTCAGGATTCAGTCTGATCTGATAAAGGGATCTGTGCCTGTCAGTTGTGCCTCAGGGTTACCAGCCTTTCAAGAGACAGTAATGGAGCTTTCTTCTCCTGCACCACTGATTGTTAAGGGGCCCACAGTGGGTATAAACAGGCCCTTCCGGCTCTCTGTGCCAATGCACAGCACAACTATGGCAAACTAAAGGAAATCTGCTAAAGAAGAGGTGCTTGTGTTGCTACTGAGCACATTACAGTTGCAGGCATGAAAAGCAGCAGCATAAAGGAATCTGAGGGGCTCTGGGCAGGTGGCCTACATCATCCTTTCTAAGAAAGAGTGTGGAGTGAGAAGAACAGATCCCAGGCAGGATTTGTGGTAGACATCAGAAGTCTGCAGAGGAGACTAGGAGGGCAGGCCACTGACTTCAGGACTCTGACTGGTGGATTGGGTGGTCCTCCATGTGCCTTTCCAAGATGAAGGGAAGATGGGGATCTCAGGAGCATTGTGGGTTGAGCTGGGACATTCAGACTTTGACTTCATTTTATC